GGTTCACCCCCCCCCCCCCTTCTTCTTCTGGCTTTGTGGAGGGTTAATCAGTGTTAGCGGAAGAAGGTCCCTTTTGTGGATAACTTTCGTTTGACTAGATTTCAGGTTTTTTTAAAAGCCCTTAATTTTGGATGATTATTATGTAACCCTCCATTTAACTTTCAGAAGAGTATCACAAAACCGCTCGAGGGCTGGTAGGAAATCCCCATCAACTTTCAATGTTTTACAAAAATAATTCTCCGGAAGGTGTGAATCCAAATTTTCACAGGCAAAAAATATACTTTTGGGTAACTTTTCCCCACACATGTAAAAAAGTCACTGAGGGCCATTAGAGGGGTTTTATGAGAAGTATTAAATTAAGTTGAATGGGGTTTTCTTATAATCCCAAACATTGGGGGTTGTTCATGAAGATGCACAGGACTTTGATAGCAGAGGTGGTAAAACATGGTCCGGGCGGTCAGGGGGAGAATGATCGAAAATTACAATTTTGCCCTTTTAACTAAAAATTAAATAAAATTCTAATTTTGGAGCACCAAAGCAAGTCTCTATATGGAAACTGTGGACTACGTATTTTATGAGAATCACCACCATGCGGCAGTTGGTTCCGATCCATTAATGAGGGGGCAAATTATCAATTTGCCCTTCAGATTTTACTTCATATTTTACAGATCGAAGGCTAGAACCGTGCGCTCGTATGCGTGCAGCTAGGGCTGAGCATGGTTCGGTTCAAACCGAAAAAACCGACCGAACCGACCCGAACCGACCCGAAAAAAGCGGTTTTAAGAGTAAGGCGGTTCGGGTCGGGTTGATAACTTTTCAAACCGACCCGACCCGAACCGACCGAATATATTCCCAAAACTTTCATACCCGTTCGCGTTTACCCGACCCGTCCCAAACCCTCAACCCTAACTTCATTTCCTCTCATTCCCAAATCCCATCCGCCGCTACTCATTCCCAATTTCCCATTTCGCTCGGCCTCAATCCCTCTCTCTCGCTCTCTCTCTTCTTCTAAGACCCCGGCCCTTACTCTCAAGGTACATAGTATCAATTTTTCTTCAATTTCCTCTGTTGTTGTCTTTGAATTGAACATGAAGTAGGTGGAATGGGCATTTCTTGTTGGAGTATGTTAGTGCTCTTTGAGTTGGATTTTTCCCATTTAATCACTCAATTCAGCACTTCTGTGTATGTTGTCCCTTGGGTTAGTTGTTGATTCAAGTGTGCACGACGCTTAAGTATCTTAGCTGTGGCTCAAATCATTTGCATTTGGGCGCATATGAAAACAAATATATACAAATTATCTCTTGGGACAAGCAATATTTGTGCATTTGATTGTTATACTTGATGAAAGTTAGAACCGAATAAACCGAACCGAACCGCACCGAACCGATTTGTAACGGTTCGGTTCGGTTTTGAATTATAGGTGGTTCGGTTCGGTTGTTCAAATTTTGGTAAAAACCGACCCGAACCGAACCGTGCTCACCCCTACGTGCAGCTCCCCAGAGGGAATAGTAGTGATGGTGGGCCCTACATTTGAATTAAGGGGGGTGTTTGGTTACATTTCTATAAATTATAGGAAATGTTTTCCATCCTAAATTTGATTTCATTGTATTTCTTAAAAAAATTATAGGAAAAGTTTTGAGAAGTTAAAAAGTACAAATTTTCTTATTTTTTGTATTGTGTTTGTTTGGTTCAAAACAAGAAAATGAGAAACAACTTTTGGGAAAATAACAACATTTCTTATAATTTATAGAAATGTAACCAAACACCACAAATTTTATAGAAAAGTGAGAACTTTGTAGAAAAGAGTTAATGAGTTTTATTATTTAAATAATGAATGCGTCAGATTTCCAAGAGATTTCCTCCCATTTTAGAAGGAAATCAATTTCCATAAAATTTGGTACTTTTGGGCACTTTACAGAAAATATTTCTGTAAATTTTTTTGGAGCCAAACACAGTTTATAGAAATGTATAGAAAACTCTTAATTACATAAATGTCATGCGTCAGTACTTTTGAGAAAACATTTCTCAAAAACAATGCAACCAAACACCCCCTAAGTTACTAGGCCCGTTATATGAGGGTGCTAGTACACGTGTCCGGCAATCACTGGCCATGTTGTTCCTCCTATTGAGGGTTTTTTCTTCTCTCTACGTCATGCACATGGTCACGTTAACAAATTTTTATTTTTCAAAATCGATCCATTTTTTTTATTTACCAAAATCGACTCGGTTTTTGCCACG